CTGAGGCTAGAAGTTCTCTAGGTAGACTCTCCCAACCTCGCCCCCAGCTCTAGGCCTCATCACGGGAGCACAGGCCTCCCAAGGACTTGGCCTGCCCCTGTCCCTGTCTCCTGGCCTTTGTGCCAGGTACAAGACCCCTTCCAGCCACGGCAGAAAAGGACAGGCACATACATGTCTAAAGGCTTCAAAGGGCTCTGTCCAGTCAGTACCCTCTGCCACCTGCAGAGTGGGCAGGAGGGCTTCTGGACTCCCAGGCCAGAGCCCCCAAGGCTGGCCTGGTGGGCCCCCAGAGGACCAGAGAATACTTCTGCTTGGGGTGGGGGGCAGAAGGGTCAGGTGGGGCCCCCTTGCTGCCAGAAGCAGCACACTGAAGCTGATTCCCATACACTCCACACCTTCCTAGGACGTCTGGCATCTACTTCCTGCCCTTGTAGGAGTGCACAGGGGATACCTGTGTGGCTTGGTGATTAAAAGCAAGCACAGCCAGGGAGACAGCTCAGTGGACTAAGCCATGCTGGGCAAACACGAAGTACCGAATTTGATCCCCAGCACCACAAAAAATTAAATAAATAAAAAGCAAGTACAAATCTTTACTGTGTGCCAGGCTGCCTATGATTCGGCCAGGTACACGGCTAGGGATCCCTTAATGAGGAACAAGCTGTTGGTAGCCTAATACAACATGGGTTATCTAAGAGGGAATCTGTTCTGGGAGTTTGGAGACAGCTGGGAAAACCAGTAGTTGGGGTGCCAGGAGAGCCATGGCGTGGCAGCTCACCCAGGAGTGAGCTTCCCCCCAGAACAGGCAGCTCCTGGCTCCTGGGTGAGCAGCTACAGAGGCAGATGACGTACATCAGAAGCCACGCCCACTGTCCCAGGAAAGAGGCAGGGGCTTCCTCACGCAGGCCACACAGAGGAAGAGCACGTGTCCTAGTATCTTTGGAAAATGTAGTCCACCAGGTCAGGTATCACGGAACAGGAAACAAGTACACAAGTGTTAGTTTTGTCCTGCTGTGCCACAAACTGCCACGAGTCTAGCACGAGTCTAGCAGCTCAGGACAGCAGACATGCCTCTCTCTGGACTCTGTGAGTCTGGTCTGAGCTGGGCCTGGTCCTGCAAGGTTTCCCAGGCTGCGGTCTCCTCTGCTTCCCAGAGCTGCGAGCCTGCTGGCAGGACTTTCTGGGATCTGTAGGACTTAGTTCTGGGGGCTCAATCTCCTTACAATGTGTGGCTCCTAGCACAGCCTCAGGCCCCCCCAGGACAGCAGAGGTCATACTGAGTCACATCAGTGGGTGTAGCAAGTCACAGGAGCTGCCATAGGGAGGGTGACCCGAGGGTGTAAGCCCCCGAGGCAAGGGCATGGGACCTTGTTTCCCCCAGCTGCTGAGTGCAGGTTGGGGAGTACTGGGGGACCTTCCTGAGGCAAGAGCAGAGGAAAGTCTAGGGAGCTCTGTCTAGGAGTGGTTGCAGGCGAGGAGTGGCCAGGATGGGCGGTGGGACCACCCATGGCCCCTATTTGCTGTCTGCACAGTGGATTCCCCAGCGACTGTCTTGGGACAGGGCATCCCAGCAGCACTATTCTGTTAGTATTCTCCAACAGTTAACAAGTGGTTTCCAAATGTTACCAAGACCCATCAAAAGTTGCTCTATACTGAGTTCAGAAGCAGATGTGGCGGCCCATGACTGTAATCCCAGCACAGGGGAGGCTGAGGCAAGAGGATCATTGAGAGTTCGAGACCAGCCTGGGCTACAAAGTGAGCTCAAGGCCAGCATGAGCTGCATAGTAAGACCCTGTCTCAAAAAGACAAAAGAAGCAAGTGAGGAGCACCTGGTCTGCTTCAGGCAACCTCACCCCCAATCTCCCAGCATCCCCCAAACCACGGGGCTTCCATGGGACAAAGCTCATATTTTCTCCCCCCCCTTCCCCCGAGACAGGGTCTCACTATGCAGTTTGGGCTGGCCTTGTGCTCTCTTTAGGTAGCCTCCAGGCTGGTCTTGAACTCACAGAGATCCTCTTGGCTCTCTCCCAAGTGCTGGGATTACAGGTGTGCGCCACCATGCCCAGTTCTGGAGCCTGGTGGGCACCCACATCCAGGGCCAAGATGGTGTGCCCAGGCATCTTGGGGCTGAGACCACACAGTCTCCAGGAAGTTTAATCCACAGGGATTGAACCTGGGTCCTTGTGCCTGCCAGACAGGCGCTTATGCCTCTGAGCTATCCCTCTAGCCCCAAAGCTTATGTTTTCTGCAATCACTTCCACATGAAAACTTCACCTAGCCTGTCCACATTTCTTGTCCCTACCCCAGCACTGATGGAGCCCCCACCGTATGCCAGATGTTGAAGAGCACACACTCAGCCACACACCTCTCCAAGCTGCCCCTCCTGGAACTTATGCTGGGGACAAACATGAATGCTGTGAACACTGCCCCGCAAGGGATCTGGACGGCACAGAGTTCTGAAGGGGCTCTCCCCATTCAAAGACACTGCTCAGGTCCTCCCAGACCAGGTGAGTCCAGGCCAGCAACCCCCCACCCCTAGTAATAGCCTCTTCTGGATGCGGAACCACACCTCGAGGTCATCTTTTGTCCACACCCTCAGGTCTCCTGCCAGGGTCACAGCTCCCTTAGAGAAAGCAATAGCCCTGGGTCTCCCATGAGACCTCCCTGTCAGAGGGAGCTCAATGGTGAAGCCCCTGCTTAGGACCCTGCCCTGCTCTGCCAGGGATCTAAGGTCCCCTAGGTTGCCTCTAGTTTTGGGGCACATGTGATTCTCCTGCAAGATCTCCACCTACTTGTGGCTCCTCTCATGCACCTGAAGACCTGGGTCTCTGCTTAGTGACCCTCCTTGGCACCTGGCATGAGGACGCTTGACATAGGAACCCAATGTGACCAATGGACACACCCAGAGAAGCCACAGGAACTGTGACCTACACATCTCCCAAGAGAGCCCTGGGGTGATGGAGAAACCAGATGTCAAACAGCCTCCTAGAAGGTAGTGCCCGGCTCTCTTGAGCCTTCTCACTGGCTGCTTTGGGCAATGGGTGGCATCAGAACAGTGAGTGTGTCCTAGACCTCAGGGTAGCGTCAGAGACATACACACACCCATGGTGGTTGGGCCTGAGTGGCTGTGTCAGGGGCCCAAGTGCTGGCCACAATGGAAAGGGCAGGTTGGTGATCGAGAAGACCCAGGGATGGGTCTACTTGTTGTCCCTGTTAGGCTGGTGGAATCTGTCCACTGGCCCCACCATGGCTGTATCTCAAGGGCTGTGGTAGCATTGGGTGAGTCCAGCTGCTTGTTAGGAGTTCTGCCTGCTGGGGATGTTCACTGGTGGCATGCCAGAGAAGCACAAGGATAGGTCCATTCATGGAGCCAGAGGCCCGGAGAGCCTATGCGCCCTTGCTGGCTGCGCAGGCCAGGCAGGGAGGCAAGGAGCAAGTGGACATTGGGTCATGTGGGTCTGTGATGTGGTCTTCCTGCCCAGGAAGTGGAGGGAGGATCACCCCCAGGTTGTCAGCCATTTGGTCTTCATAGAGGGCCTTGTTATAGCGTTCAGGAGCCTGGAGAAGAGGCAAAGGTGGTCCAGCAGGCTGCACCATGCGGGATCACGGTCTGTGAGCATCCGACATGCAGATGGCATTTGAGTGGCCCTAGAGTGTCCTTTGCTTCTCTGGGGTCAGAAGCAGGAGCCAGGGAGTGTCCCCGGCCTCACTTCTGCAGTCTGCTTGTGTCCAGGCTGTCTCCTGAAGTTGCTTCCGTAGCCTTGGGTGGCCAGGTGAGGCTGCAGCCCCAGGAATCCTGCTGCCGCGGGACAGTCTGCACCCCTGCAGCTTCCCCTGCTGGTGCTTCACTATGCCTCCTGGGCCCAGAGGGTAGGCCAGCAGGACCTTGGGCAGCCCTGTGGCCCCTATTCATTCCTCAGGGTCCAGGCTGTGGCTGGTGGGCGGACCCCTGAACAAGTATCCAGGGGTTACAGTGTGTAGTGGTGTTTCCACCCCACCCCAGGCCTTGCCTGCCAGAGCACACCATCGGGGCTCTGCTCAGTTTACTAAGCAGGTAGAGCTATGGCCTTTGCTCTGGCCAAGTGCAGCTCTGGAGCCCACTAGCTGCTGAACTCATAGTGGTGACAGGGACAAGCACTGTGGAAATGACTGGCCACTGGGCCTGTGCTCTGGCCATTCTTTTTTTGTTTTTTGTTTTTTAAATTTTATCCATTTACGTGTGTGCGTGTGTGTATGTGTGTGCGTGTGGCCAGCTCAGCCCACCAGGGGGCGGGGCCGGCTGGCATGTGGTGCTGGGGGACCGAACCATGGTCCCTGTGCCCTGCCAAGCTTGTTCCAAGCAGGCGCTCCAGACCACCGAGCCATCCCACCAGCCCTGGTCATTCTTTTTGTGAGCCCCTTTAATGTCAGCAAAATGGGCAAGGGCTGAGGACAGTCAGACAGCTTTGGCTACTGCAGCCTAGTAGGTGCAGTGTCCCTTCCACCCAGGCGTGCGCCCAGCCCCACGACCTGGGAACCTGTTGGTGGCCCAGGGACTTGATGCAGCCTGAGCACTGAGCTGCAGGCAGGAACACAAGGCCCAGGCAGGTGGTGGCTTGTCAGTCCCGCAGAAGCTCCGTACTGGCCTACACCAGCTTGGGGCTCACGGACACCACCCAGAGGCTGTCTGCTCTGTGGCTTCGGTGGGTGAGCCCTGAGGGGAGAAACTGAGGCCACCTGCCACCAGGCCACCTCCCTGATGGAAGAAAGTCCAGGGCCTAGCCGGCTTCCTAGTTATACAGTCTCCTTCCCTGGGGTGGCGTGACTTCCTCTGCCCTGCCTTGGCTCCAGGCTGCTGAACCCATGTCCCCAGAGACCCCTCCCAGGCTTCCCCCCACCCATCCTTGCTGACCTGACCATGGTGACAGGCTGACTCAGACCCTTGAAGCTAACCTAGTGTCCAGGAGAGCTGGCCCATCTCGCACCTAGTCCAGGGACCCATGGCGACAGTCAGGACAGGCTAGTTGACATAGGACAGAATCTTTATTGCTGAACATAAAATGTCTGCCAGAGAGGCCTGACCAGGGGGCTCTTCCCAGGCAGAGGAGTCCTGGGTGTGGAACACTGAGGGCCACACCCACAGCCGGAGACTGCCCAGTGGGATGAGCCCTGCCCATGTCTCAAGGGGCAAGGGCAAAGGGTGGGGATGAGTCCTAGGTGCGAAGGGGAGGGGAGGCGCAGGGGAAGTAAGGTCCAGCGGTCCGACTGGGTAAGACTTTGGGCTGAGGGAGGAAGACAAGGCCCTGGGCATATAGGCTAGGGAAAGCTTGGAGCCTGGCAGGCAGAGCGGTACCCTGGGTTTGGCGGCAGGTGGCTTCTCCTGGAGGGCCAGAATGGTGGGCAGAGCCTCCAAGCTCTCCGGGGGTGAGTCTGAGGTAGGTGCGGGATGGTCCCTGGGTCCCTCACAGACGTGGTTTGATGTGTAGTGGCTTCCCTGCACAGAAAGGGCAAAGGTCAGGTTCAGCTGACCCCAGTGGGGAGGAACTCCCACCCTCCAAGTTTCTGATCAGAGCTCAGGATGGAGACCCCGCCAGCCCAGGCCTACCTGGTGGGGGCTTAGAACACCAGGCTGCTGTCTTCTGCCCACCTGCTGACCACCCCTGGGCCTGACAAGCCCCTCCCCCGGGCCAGGAGCGGGGGCAGTCTGGCAGCAGTCTGGCAAGGCCTATGGGCAGGAGCCACACACGGTGGGCCTGAGCTATAAATGGCAGGTGCATGCACGCAGATGTGCAGGCACACACTGCTCACACCTGGGAACGGCTGCCAGACACGTGAGAAGCGGGGTATATGCAGTCAGGCGGCTAGGTGACATGGCAAGGGCTAAGCAGAGGGTCTGAGCATGGAGACACACATCCCAGGGGGCTATTGCCTGGCGGGGGCACTCCTGTTGGACACCAGGGCCTTTCCTCCCTCCGCAGAAATGCTCTGGACCACCCTAGGCCATAGACTGCAGCTGCACCAGCACAGCTGCCCACAGGCAGGACACAATGTTCATGTGTCCCCGTAGGAGCCCCCTCCTATAGAGAGGGCTGAGTGTCCCTCCTCAGGGCTGCTGGCTCCATGTTTTGCTCAGTCAGAACCCAAGCCTCGGCCTGCAGACTCCACCAGCCTCCAGCCTCCACCTCTATCGGACAGCTGCTTCAGCCACCCATCCCAGCCCGGCCACATCCGCCCCTCCAGACCCTTGGGGCCAAGCCTTACACAGTGTTGGAGCCCTTTCCGGGCCTGCCCAAGTGGTCCACATGACCCCCAGCACCCTGCAACTGACCCTAGAACTGGCTGCTGGGATCCTGATCTTTAAAACACAATCCAGTGGCTGAGGTTAGGGAGAGCCCCAACGGCTCCAACAGGAGCTGCTGGCCCCCCGTCCAGGTCCCAGCTAGGTGGGGCCCAGCTGGCCAGGTTCTGCATCTGACTAGGAGGCTGTAACCAGGAGGCGGCCCCTCCAAGCAGGCGCTTGAGCGTGCTCAGCGGGGCTGTTATAGAAGCCTGCAGCAAGCATCTTCCATTAACGTTACGACCGTGAAATATGACAATAAAATGATAGCCGTATGGTCACAAATTTGCAGCCCGCCGAGCTACGTGGGGTTTATCGTCACTCAAACGTGCGGAGAGCTGTAAAATGTTTACAGAAAGGGTCGTTTGCAGCCATAAAATCCTCTTTTCTCTCCTAAACAAGGCTGAGTGGAGCCATTTACCAAGCCCCAAATGCTCATTGGGGAGAGAGAACATCTGTTCTCTCCAGGAGTGTGCAGTGATCTTCCAGAACAAATTAACAGAAATGGGTGCTTTCTAATTAAATCAGCCCTCGGCTGGGGTGGTCTGTGTGTGGCCACCACTGCGCTCACCCCACACTGGCCCACCCCTGGCCTGCAGGTGCACACACGACGCCCACAGACTCTCCAGGCCTGCACCTGGGGACTCCAACTGAAATGGCCCGGCTTGAGCTTACCTGAGTCCTTGGCGAGGGGCCTCCTGGGGGCCCGGGGTTGGCCTCCTGGGCTTGGGGAGGCCCGCAGGGAGATGAAGGCTGGTAGCCTGCAGAGGCTACCTGAGCCTGTCCCTGACGAGGTGGCCTCATCCTGGAGAGTAGGTTCCTCTTGGTCTAAGGAGTGGGAGGAAGAGGAGGAAGAGGAAGAGGAAGAGGAGGAGGAGGAGGAGGATGAAGAGGAGGATGAAGAGGAGGAGGAGGAGGCAGCCTTTGTTGACAAGGGAGCAGCTGAAGCAAACTCCCGTGGTGAAGGGGGAGGGGAAGCTGGGGGCGCAGTCCTGGGGGTGGGGGAACTGGATGTCTTTCTGGTATGGCGATGGGCCGATGATGGCTTTCTGCAGGAAACAGGGACAACAAAAGTGAGGGTGGGCAGGGATTGCAATACCACTGTCCCACCAACAGGGCATCAGGCCCCTCCACCCCCATGTCCTGTTGTAGAACTACTGGGCATCACCACTTAGGTCCAAGCCTGGCCCTCAGCCTCTAAGGATAGGCTGGTTACAGAGCCCATGGCCTCAGGCATAAGGATACCTGGTCAAGAGGGCTCTGGGTTGCATATGATTGTTTATTATCTCAACCTCCCACTTCCCAGACCCTGGTATCCTTGTCTGCAGAGGGTTCCTATACTCAACAGGAGGTGAGCATGACACAGAGATCCCTAAAACTCCTCCAAGGGACCTGGCTTCCTCTACTTTCCTGGGCAATGGAGTCTCTGAAACCCCTACTTCCTGTCCTAGGTTCCATCTAGATTCAGAGACAGTACAGGCATCTCTGGAGGCCACCTGTCTCTCTGCCTTGGACTGGGATTTCCTTGTGGATCTGAATCCCAAAGAGCTGGGGTGGGGGTTCACTTCAGAGGGTCCCAAATGTCACCCATGCAGCACCCACTGCCCCATCACCTGGGCCCATGGCCAGTGGAGGCGCGGCTCCTGGATGCTGCATCGCTGGGCCCTGGGGCAGGTGGCAGGGCTGCCCGCCGGCTGTGTTGCTTCTGGTTGCGATGAAGCAGTTGGCACTGGGCACCTCGAGGACAGGTACCCCTGCGGGCGAAGTCAGGGCACAGCAGCGTGTGCTTCTTCTTGCACTGGGGGAAGAAGGGTACAGTTAGGTAGGCCAGGGAATGCTGAGGCACCATGTGGGGGGAACGTGGGGGGCTATGTCCACCCCCCCCAAGCAAGCCTGCTGGCCCTGCAGGCTACCCACTGGGGCTCAAGTCAGAAGCTTCCTCTTGGAAGATGAGGCCACCGGGCAACAGCAGCTCCATCTGGGCCCCTGGGCAGACTGAAGGGAGGGCCAGAGCCAGCCTGGGGATTCCCAGAGCCTGGGGCCAGGCCACTGCCTAGGGATCTGCCCACCTGCCACCCCTTCTGACAGGGCCAGTCCATTGTGACAAGTGTGGCAAGAGCCCAAGAGGAAGGTGGGCGGGGCCTGAGGCCTCAGGAGACCTCGTGGGACAGGGTTAGACCTGGGGCCCACGCAAGGGGGTGCAGCAGGTCGGCTGAGGGCACACAGCACTGGGTCAGGGCTGGGCCGGGCACTCTATCCACAGCACCTGTCACCGGGCTAATTATACCCACAGGGAGGTGGGGCAGGCGGGCAGGCAGGTGCCCCAGGCGATGGCTTGGTCTCAGCTCTGCCTGCCAGACACAAGAAAGTGAGAAGCCTCTGTCCAGCGCCCAGTAGCTGGGCCCAGCCAGGGAAGGCCCCAGGACAGAGACGGGCGATCAGGACCTGCCTTCATGGGCTCCATCCTGGGCTCCACGGCCTCCTGGGAACTCAAGCCCATTCCCAAGGAGGGGTCCCCTGCCCTCTACAGCTGGCTCAGGGGGGCAAGCAAGCCGGAGTTCAGCTGGCCTGGGCTTCCTACCCCAAGCTGACGTGCAGTTCCACACAGAAGCCTACTGAATCTACACTGGTGCCGCACTCAGTGGACTGGAACACCATCTAAAGACACAAACCAGTCTTAAAAGCCACTTTCCCTAGGCCTGTGACCCCTATCAGAAGTGGTCCTGCATGGAGGGTCCTGGCCCTGCTTCTGGTGCCCAGGACTGTGCATCTGGCCAAGACAGATGTCTGCTCACAGCCTATACCCCGCTGACCCTGGTCACGGTCCTCCGATGTGCACCTTCCACAAGGACAGGCTCAGGAAAGGGCTCACTCCCTTCCACATGGAGTCTGAGCTCCTCAGCGCTGGGCTTGGCTAGTGATATGGATCCCTGAAACAGAGGGGGTCTTGCCGGCAGAGAGGACAGGGGATGGCACAGCCACGTTTTGTTTTGTTTGTTTGAGACAGGGTCTCACTCTGTAGTGCAGGATGGCCTTGAACTCACAGTGATCCTCCTGCCTCAAGTCTCCGGAGTACTGGGATTACAGGCATGTGCCAGGTGCTGCTACTTTTGCCAAATTAAGAAGACCCACTACCAGGATGCGCTTGAGGTAGGGCTCCATAGTGAGATGGTGGTGGGGTACAAACAGGTGGATGGCGAGAGCCGCTAACACGGTGCTGGGAGCAAAGTGAACACAAAGTACTTGGCTGAGAGATGGCCAGACACAACACAGGCCTGTGCAGGCCTACGTGGTAGCCAGTAAGTAGCTCATGGGTGATGTGAGACGAGACGTGACAGACATGTAAAGCATGCTGGAGTTTAGACTTAGTGGGAAAAAAAGAATGTAAAGTTTTTTTTTTTTTTTTTTCATTCATGGTTTAGGTCTGATTAGTGGTTTGTCTGCAGTACTGAGGATTGTGCTAGCATTGTTACATTCCTTTCATTTAGTTATTTTTTAAATTTTATTTTGAAATAGACTAAGTTCCCAGGCTGGTTTCAGGCTTGGAATCCTCCTGCCTCATCCTCCTAAGTAGCTGAGATTACAGGTATTTTTGATACACCTAATTAGATAAAATATTTTGTGTGTGTGTGTAATGTGTGCTATTACTAGGGGCAGAACTAAGAGGGAAGTGCTTTGTTATAACCCTCACCTTTTCTTTCTTTCTTTCTTTCTTTCTTTCTTTCTTTCTTTCTTTCTTTCTTTCTTTCTTTCTTGTATTTTTAGTAAGGATCTTCAGGGTCTGCAGGGTCTCACTACGTAGATCAGACTCGCAGTGATCTGCCTGTGTCCAGCCTCCCAAGAGCTGGGATTACAGGCACGTGCAACCATACCCAGTCTCAGTGCCGTCTGCCTGGACAGAGGCACGTGCAACCATACCCAGTCTCAATGCCCCAGGACAGAGACGGGCGATCAGGACCTGCCTTCATGGGCTCCATCCTGGGGATCTTGGTCCTCTTGGTCTGCTGAGCTATTTGGCCACTGCTCTCTTTTCTTTTTACTTTTTTAAGGTGGTTACTAAAAATGTGAAATTATACATGCAGTTCATACATCTTTCCACTGGAAGGTGCTGATCTGAACTAACCTTTTTCTCAACCAAATTTCTAAGATAAAATGTAACTATTTTCTCAAATAAGAACTATGAATAGCTGGGCTGGTGGTACAGGGAGGGAGAGGGAGAGGGAAAGAAACGGAGAGAGAAGAAAAACCAAAACAATGGGGAAAATCTAGGAAACTCACAGACACAAAGCAAGCCTCCAACTCCTAAGCCCTAATCATTGGGCTGAGCCACCTTTACTGATGGAAAGGCATGTCC